TGAATAAAAATATAAAGAACAAATAAAATTATACTCCCTCCAATTCATAGTAAGTGTCGTTTTGGGAAGTTGCACAGTTATTAAGAACATATTTTTTGCCAATAATAACCCTCATCAATGATGATAGAGATGAATGTTTAGAGAAAAAATGAAGAGTGAATATGAAAAGACGTAGTGTATTTATTAGCTAGATGAGGGTAATAACGGAAAAATATGTACAAAATATTCAAAACTATATTTATTTTGTTAATAGTTGATAATACCAAAATGACATTTAAAAAGAATATGAGGTAGTACGTTTTTTGTGATTATTTGAATGAATAGGAACTCGAGTTATAGTTTTGCCTACTTGGACTTATTTGTCAATATGCAATAATGGTCCTTTGTAGTTGCAAATTTGGGGTTTTGGATAGGGAAATTTTCACATTTGCTATATGATTTTAACTTATTTACAACTCTACCATATCTATATTAATAATTGTGTCTTTACCTAAAACACTTTATTTATCCATATTAATGCCTAAATCATTTATCATACTCTTTCAACCTCCATCCCCTTTTTATGGGATTGATTAGGAGAGAGAAATGGAAATATATTTATAATAACTCATTTAATTCCTTAATTTGTGCACCTTGTACGTCTTAAATAGAGAGAGAGATAAAAACATGTATTACAATTCACGCAGTTCTTCAAATAGGTATATGTTGCGTTTATGTTAGTATATATTCAGTATATGTTGCAATAAAAAACATGTCTTCCACCAATTTTTTTTTTTACATAAAATTATATATATAGTATATAAACATATTAACAGGTTATATTCCCTATACCCAAATATCTTCTAATATACTGAACATATATTTATACACACAACATATACCGAACAATTTACAAAAAGATCTTCTAATATACTGAACATATACTCTCTATATGTTTTGTATATATTTTTGATGATTTACCGTAATTATGATATATGATTTGTATATGTTTTCGATGATGTTACTAAATATAAGCCATACATATACCGAAAATATACTGAATATTAACGATACATATAACAAGGGTGATAGATACAAACATGATACAATATGAGGGGATGAAAATATACCGAAAATATATTGAATATAAACCATACAAAGCTAAAAAAAATCCACACACACAAGTTCATTTTATGCTTAAACCATACAAGTTCATTTTATGCATAAAAAGCATTGCTATGTCTTTTTTTTTTTTAATTTACAGTAAATAATATAGATAATGAAAATAAGGAGGATCACAAATTTAACGAATTATGATTACCCTTTTCATTTTCCTAACTACTTTACCGAATTATGTGCAACAGTAGGATTAATATTAATATATGAAATTATTATTCAAATTATATCAATGTTGAAAAAACTGTAGTTGTTGAATTTAAATTACCAATAATATAAATGTGTATATTAAGCAATAATCAAATATTATTATATGAAGTTAAAGAGCCAGACTTCATATTGTCGGTGGTTCTTCAAATATCCGTTGCCCCTCTTTAGTCCACCTCATGAAATCAGTGGAGTTAATTTTTTTTATTATATATGGACGTATCATAAACAAATCAAAAAATAATTATTTAATTTTTTTTTTAAAAATATATCTATATTTTACAAGAAATTTATGTCAATACGACGTTATTTCATGCATCATATTCTCCTTTTTTTTCATTAATTTGGCTGCATGCATCACATACTATGAATTAATTTTATATTATTATTATTATTATTATTATTATTATTATTATTATCAAATATAAAAATAAAACTAAATGAAATAAAAAAGGCTTGAATTTTTTGGTGAATTGCAATGTAAAAAAAGATATATATTTTTTTTGGATTGTCTCATATGACTAATAAAAACAACTCGTACAGTAACAACATTCTCAAATAAAGTGGACCAATAAATAGAGCCGTTTTATCTACTATAACTGCCACTTCCTATATTTAAGTCATAATTAATAAACTAACAAAATCTGGTATATGTGTAAATATATTGGGATAATTTTGTATATTTGCAAATAAATATTAATTAGGTGTAAAGATGTAATATAAATTATATTTGGTAGTATAGGGTGCAAATTCCTCTTTTGGATATTCCAATGAAGCCCAATATATGAGCCTAGCCCAATAAAAACAAAGAAAACCTGTTCTTAATGGGAAAAATACACACATAGCCCATATTGTAGATATATTTACATAATTACAATTAGTAGGAAACATAATCAAAAGAGGATTAATTAATATTTTTTTTTCATTTATACGAGAATGATATTCATCAGATATGATTCTCTCTCTCCATATTAAATTCCGTGCATAATTTTCGGAAACATGCAATATAGAAACTTCTCACTCCACTGTAAAAAAAGAAAACAAATCATCAATTCTCTCTTCATATCTCGGTTTTTAATGTGGAAAATTAATCTCACACCAAAAACAAAGTCTATCTCTCCATTTCTTATGTGAGTTTTTTTTGTTTTTTTTTTTTTT